AGGTCAGGCCCGCTTGCTGGAAAAGCCATGTCTTGAGGGCACGGCGGAAGGTAAGGAGATCCGGAATCGTCCGGATCTCGGGGGGTAGTTCGTTCCAGAGGGTGGGGGCACCCACAGAGAAGGCCCTCCCCCTGGGGGTCACCAGCCGACATTGTTTGGCCGACGGCACCCTGAGGAGACCCACTCTGTGGGAGCGTACAGGTCTATGGGAGGGAATCTGTGGCAGAAGGCGGTCTCGGAGGTAACCAGGTCCGATGCCATGAAGCGCTTTAAAGGTGGTAACTAACACCTTAAAGCGCACTCGGAAGACCACTGGCAACCAGTGCAGCTCGCGCAGAAGCGGTGTTACATGGGAGCGACGAGTCCCTCCTAACACCGCCCGCGCGGCCGCATTCTGGACCAGTTGAAGTCTCCGGGTGCTCCTCAAAGGGAGCCCCATGTAGAGAGCATTACAGTAGTCCAGGCGGGAGGTGACGAGAGCTTGAGTGACTGTGCGCAAAGCGTCCCGGTCCAGAAATGGACGCAACTGGTAAATCAGGCAGACCTGATAGAACGCCCCCCTGGTCACGGCCGACAAATGATCTTCCAATGTCAGCCGTGGATCCAGGAGGACACCCAAGTTGCGGGCCCTCTCTGAGGGGGCCAAAATTTCGCCCCCTATAGTCAGCGATGGAGTCAGCTGACTATGCCGAGGCGCCGGCAACCACAGCCACTCGGTCTTGGAAGGGTTGAGCCTGAGTCTGTTCCTCCCCATCCAGACCCAGATGATAGAAAGAGAAATAGATTATAAGATATAGATGATAGGAAAGAGAGAAAGATACAGATGATAAGATATATATACATATTAGATAGAAATAGATATAGAAAATAGATGATAGAAAGAGATAGGTAGAAATAGATGATAAGATATAGATAAATGATATAGATATATATAGAGAGACAGACAGATACAGACAGACATGATAGATATAGATCAGGGGTCTTCAAACGTGGCCCTTTTATGACTTGTAGACATCAACTCCCAGAATTCCTTAGCCAGGCATGTGTGCCTGGCTGAGGAATTCTGGGAGTTGAAGTCCACCAGTCATCAAAGGGCCAAGTTGGAAGAGCCCTGGTATAGATGATAGACAGACATGCTTCTCAACCACAAGCTGCCGTTTTCCTCCTGGATGTTTCCCTTCTGGTTTTGGCCAAGCTCCTTTGCCCACACAAGACGAACTTGCCTTTCTTCTTCCATCTCCTCCCCATGGAGCCTCGATGGTTCTGTTCATTCGAGGGGGGGATGCCTTCATTCCTGATGCTCCCCGGCTGGTCTCATTTCAGAGGGTGTTTTCCACGCGAGGGTAGCAGGAACGCGTAGTGTTTCCCGGGCGCGGAGGCGGGCAGCAGAACTCGGCCTCTGTGCCTGGTTCTCATGGCGGGCCTCCCTCTGCTTCTGCCCCCTTTAGGCCAGCCCGCTGGCACAAAGCCAAGAAGGTCCAGCTGACCCCCGGGCAGACGGAGGTGAAGATCGACCTCCCCTTGCCCATCGTGGCCTCCAACGTGATGATCGAGTTTGCCGATTTCTACGAGAACTACCAGGCCTCCACGGAAACCTTGCAGTGCCCCCGATGCAGCGCCTCCGTGCCCGCCAACCCGGGGGTCTGCGGGAACTGCGGGGAGAACGTCTACCAGTGCCACAAGTGCCGGTGGGTCAGCCTAGCCCCTTTCCTTCCTTCCTTCCTCCCTCCCCCTCCCCCAGGGAGCCTCGGGGGACCCTCTTCCCCACAGCCACAGAAATCTTTGCTGTTGAGCTGGGCCTCGCTTTCCAAAGTCCCACGCCCGGCCCTGGAAGGAGGTTTGGGTTTCCCACATCCGAGGCATCTCTTTTGGGGAGCGAGGATGAGATTTCAGCAGACACACACCTACATACACACCCCTTGTTGCTGATTCCCAGGTCGATCAACTACGACGAGAAGGACCCCTTCCTTTGCAACGCCTGCGGCTTCTGCAAATACGCCCGCTTCGACTTCATGCTGTTTGCCAAACCGTGCTGCGCGGTGGACCCCATCGAGAACGAAGAGGACCGGAAGAAGGTCAGGGGCAGCAGGAGGAGGAGAAAGAGGAGGAGGTGGAAGGGGGGGAGGAGGAAGGGGGGAGGAGGAATAAGAGGAGGAAGAGGAGAAGAAGGAAAAGGAGGAAGAGGAAGAAGAGGAGGAGGAAGAGGAGAAGGAAAAGGAGGAAGAGAAAGAAGGAAGAGGAGAAGGAGGAGTAAGGGAGAGGAGGAGGAAGAGGAGGAAGAAAACGAAGAGGAGAAGGAGGAAGAGGAAGAAGAGAAAGGAAGAGGAAGAGGAGAAGGAGGAGGAGGAAGAAGAGAAGAAGGAAAAGGAGGAAGAGGAAGAGAAGGAGGAGGAAGAGGAGAAGGAGGAAGAGGAGGAGGTGGAAGGGGAGGAGGAATGAGGAGGAAGAGGAGAAGGAGGAAGAGGAGGAGGAGGAGGTGGAAGGGGAGGAGGAAGAGGAGAAGAAGGAAAAGGAGAAGGAAGAGGAGGAGGAAAAAGAACAGAAAGGAGGAAGAGGAGAAGGGAGAAAAGGAAGAGAAGGAGAGGAAAGAGGAGGAGGAGGAGGAGACCTGCCTTTTGGGGAGGAGGGAGATTTTGTGGCCTCACTTCCCCCAGGAAACCACCTTTGTCCCCCTTTAGAGAGTCTATTCTACCCACCCATCCCCCAATGCTTTACAAGTATTCCTCGACTTACAACTGCTTGTTTAGCGACCCAAGTGATAACAGCCCTGAGACAAGGGACTTACGATCGTTTTTCACAGTTACAACCTTTGCAGCCTCCCCACAGTCCCGGGATCTAAATCCAGACGCCAGGCAACCGGTTCATACTTAACGACCGTTGCTATGTCCCAGGGTCACGTGACCCCCCCATTTGCCACCTTCGAGGGGGGGTAGCCAGGTTCGCTTAACCCAACCGGGTTACTAACTGATCGGCTGCCGCGATTCGCTTTTAACGCCCGTGCCAAGCAAAGTCGTCAAATGGGGTCAAACTCACTTCACCAGCGTCTCACTTAGCAGCGGAAATGTTGGGGTCCCCGTAAATCGAGGACTATTTCAGGAACTCCAAAAATAGAGTTCCACTCTCCATCTTAGCCCCTTGGGGGGCTTTCCCTGTTACCGGAAGCTCGGGGGTCGTGCTCAAACTGGGAGCGTGCCACTGCCTGGGTTGGGTGGGAGGAAGAGCGTGGCCTGCTGGACGTTGCCGGACGTTGGAGCGAGGTAGAGAGGCTCCCTTCACTGCCTGGGAGCAGAGCGCTGCTTGATCCCCAAGCTTATTATCTAGAGCAGGGGTCTCCAACCTTGGCAACTGTAAGACTTGTGGACTTCAACTCCCAGAATTCCTCAGCCAGCAAAGCTGGCTGAGGAATTCTGGCAGTTGAAGTCCACAAGGCTTAAAGTTGCCAAGGTTGGGAAGACCCCTGACGTAGAGACCTGTTTCATACGGAGGCTGGCAGGAATGTTGCTGTCCCAGAGGCCTCGGGAGCCCAGGGTTGTGTAGTTAAACACATACATAACCGGGGTGCTGCGTCGTTTTCCCCCGCCAGGCGGTGACCAACATCAACACCCTCCTGGNGAGACTGGACAGCCATTTGTCCGAAATGGTATAGGGTTTCCTGCCTGAGCAGGGGATTGGACTAGATGACCTCCAAGGCCACTTCCAACTTTATTATTATATTATTATTATTATTATTATTATTATTATTATTATTATTATTATTATTATTATTATTATTATTATTATTATTATTATTATTATTATTATTATTATTATTATTTACTTCAAGTTAAAAAAATATATAATATCACTGCAGAGAACACATAAAAGCAACATCCTTAAAACAAGAGGAGGATAGGAATGTTTCATTCAAGAAACTAAAGTTCTGTTCACTGAAAACAGAAAAATAAAGCCTGTGTCAAGCAGAGTTTAGGGCAGTGGTGGCAAACTTATGGCAAACATGCCAGAGGCGGCAGTCAGAGCTCTCTCCATGGGCACATGCACTGTCACCCCCGCCCCACCTCCCCCCCACGCCCCCCTCCTCTCAGCAGCCCCCCCAGAGGAGAGTCACCCCTGGGCGCAGCCAGCGTGGAGCAGCGCAGCCAAGGACATGGCAGCTGGGCAGCAGGGACAAGACTCTGCCTTCACGGCCCATCACACACAGATGATGCTGCGGGGCATGGGCAAAGAGCGTGGCTGCCATGGCACTGCAGGGCCGCCTGGGCGATCTGCTGCACTGGGCCGTGGAAGTGGTGGGTGGCCCTGTGGGCGGGTGGGGCACGGGGTGGGGTGGGCAGGAGAGCGGGGTGGTTTTGGGGCACTCAGTCTCTAAAAGGTTCGCCATCACTGGTTTAGGGTTTATGTTTTTAGAATGCCAATAGTTAAAAGGAGCCTCTTAGATCTTCTTTCCTTCCCTCCCTCTGTCTCATACACACACACACAAAAAAAACCTGCACAAGAATATTAATCTAGAAGAAAGGAAAAGATAGATAAAATAAGTACAACTCTTCAGTCCTTTCACCTTACATACATATTTAGCCTTAATCACAGGATCCATTTTTGTCACTTTTTGTAACAAGCAGGTCTTAGTTTCACTAGTATTGAGCCCCAGAATTCATTTTCAATGGAAAAGCTGTGGGGTAAAAAACACAGCACAATGTCTTTAGAAAAACAGAAGGTCTTTCCATCAACACATTTCCACTCACTCAGGATTGAGGAGGTGCATTTGTAGGATAGTGACAAAACTACTTATGATGGTTTTACTGTCAGAATAAAAACTACTCTTTTTTGTTGGTTATTTTATTTAATACTGGGATACTTCTGAAAGCTTAATACTGCATCTCTGAAACAGTGATTTGCTTATTTTATGCTTCCATTTATCATAGTGTTGAAAACATTCTCTCAGGGAGCGACATTAGAATTCCTTTATATTCATATCACTTTTAAGATTAATATTGGAAGCCAAAACATGTCATGGGAAAATTAATTTCACGATTGATTTCAGCTTTCACAATATGTGTGTACTGTGCTCACTGCAAATCCCATCCCACAATCATGGAAATCTTTAATTCAGAGGGAAATAAGATGTCAAGATAGGTGAGCCTGGCCATAGCTGTAGTAAACCAGAGACACTGAGTAAAAAAATCTGGGATGGTTTCTCATATTCCAATTATGAGTAAACAAAGAGAGGAGAAGGTTGTTCTGAAAACACCAAATGAAATTCAGGGTATTTAAAACTCAGTTGAGTCAGAATGAAAATCTCATATACCTCTCACCCTATCTCTGATTCAAAGAAATCCACAAAACAGCTTCTGGGGCATAGTTTCAGAATCCAGAAGGAGGGACAAGCTGTGCTCTGCATCAAAGAGGTGGGGAAATTTTAAGATAGTAGTTTAGGTCCCACCTTGTGACCAACCATTTTGATGGGAAGAGGCAAATCAGAATAATTTTTTGATTAATTCTAATCATTTTGCCTGAGCTGCTGCTTTTTAGAAAGGGATATCATGAGAGGTGGTGGAGAGAGAGATTGGTGTATGACACTGCAAGCATCTGAGGAGGGAGGAGGTCCAGCAAAATGATGCCAGGAAAAAAAGAGGAGGGCAGGAAGACTGGCACCTTGATCTGCATCCATGGTCCGTTTTGCTCAAAGCATCATTGTAGAGAAACACCTCTTCCAGCTCTGACGAACCCTAAAGTTCTTTGTTTTATTAGCCATATATTCTGCCCATTCTTGTGCTCTTAAAAGTAGAGAAATATTCCATTCTTACAGATTGTATAATGGCCATGCAGTCTAGGCCACTGTGTTTCAGAGTATTGGAAGAAAGGAAAATCCAAGGACTTGGTTTAGGCATTGACAGAAGGCTTATTTCCATAGCTGTCATTAAAGGGGGCCAAAGAAAATAAAGAGCATTTTCTTCTCAGCAAGACTCCCTTGAAAGAAACATTTAATAATCAGAGCATCAGCAAATAAACACTTTCTCAGCCTCTTCTTCTCACTCCCTCTAGAATTCTGACTAACCATCAGGTCAGACATACTATCTGTCATTCTGCTTACCCAATTGAGAAGACAGTTCCTTTGCTTGCTTTTATTATAGTATGAGCAATGTCCTTAGGCCTAGGCAATGAAATTTCAAATGCTACAGCCATGAACTCTGTTTTCCTAACCGCTACTGAAGGGTTTCATGCTGTGTGCCCAGCTGGAATTGGGGAATCCTAATACAAAGAAAAAAGGAAAACAAGAGTAACCTTTTCACTGCAGCAACTATAGCTGAGCATCTTAGGCATTTTCTTTTCATCTCTGTCATTTTTAAATATTTCTCTTTTAAAGTTGCTTCTTGCCACATCACTCATTATGTGTAAATTCATGAACTCCACTGATCATTCAGAATTCCTGTTGATCTTCATTCCTAGTAGTATATATGTATGTATGTATGTATGTATGCATGCATGCATGCATGCATGCATGCATGCATATATATATTTCACTCAACTAGTTGCTTGTCACACAGAAGAATATTGGTTCCAACATTGTAGGCAAGATTTCTTAACAAAGTGAAATTGAAAAATGCTGTGATATTATAAGAGCAGGTGAGTTCAAAATGGCATGTAGATATCAATAGAAAATGTGATTGGAATTAATACCATATTTTTGGATAAACCTATTTTATTTCCCAGTTCATAAGTTTCAGATTTTAGTATTAAAAAGAATTAGACATTAAAAATCTTTTTTTATAAGTTTTATTGATTTTTTAAAATTACAATCTTTAAAGCTTAGTAAACAACACGTTGTCTGGGTTTACATATTAACATTAACTTCTTCAATATAAATCTATTCAGTACTGTACACTCCAGTATTTTTTCCTTGATCTTCCTTTCTTCACCATATTTTCCCTTTTCCCCTCATTAAACAATTACAATTCTTAGTACTATTGATATATACAAAATTAGATATAGACATCTTCATCATATTTTACTAATATTATGGAAATAAGAATAATATCAATTCATAAGTCAATATCCTGTTTTTGAGCTCTTATTAAAGTTTGATTTCCCATCAATATTTACAGTATCTTTATCAGTTATGATTTTCTCAATATTACTTACATTTATATAGCTAAAAAAATTTATTCATACAATCCTCCTCTTATTTTCAAATTTCCCATATCAAAAGAAGAAAAACAAAATGTTATTTTAATTCTAAATCATATCTTCCATTATAAAAATATAGTTATATCTAAGGGTCATCAGTTCTTTTAATCATATTCAGATAGGTATATTAAACAGATAGTGCCCCTCTGATAGATCAAATCCTCTGTTTTTTAAGTCTAACTCTCGCTTTCTTTCTTTGCCAAGTAGCTTTCCAGGCCAAGGCAATTAAATCGCCCCAACATTTTCTTTCTATTTTTGTGCAAGCTGCTTGGCATGAGAAAGACAATTTGGGTAGAGTATTTTGGGGGGGAACTCCTCCCATCCACATTCCCTAGACATTTCCCCTGCCCGCTCTATGTTCCATTTTCTAGAATTTTCTTCCTTGTCTTTTGTATTTTCATTGTTATAGGTAGGTCTTGCAGTATTTTATTTGTATATGTCAGTCCATATTTCTCTTCTCCTATCTACTCCATCTCTAGATCCATTTCTTCTGCTTCATCCTCTGATTTCTGGTTTATTTGTTCATACTTTGTAGTCATTGTCTGGGAGTTTTCCAGTTGTAGCTTCAATTTGGAGATTTGGTCCTTTATATCATCTAGGTTATTTTTAGCCTCATTATGGTTTCTTTTTATGTCCTCTTTTTGTACAACAATTGTTTGATGGATTTGTTGTAACATAGAGAGTATTTCCTTCTGAAAGGTATTTGTTTTTTCTTGAGGCATCATTCCTAGAAATTCTCTGGTATCACCAGTCTCAGTAAGAGTGGAACAAAATTTCCTCTAGTTTTCTGGTCTTTATATATAGCCTTTATAATCCAGTCCTCATAGCAATATTTTATAATAATCCTTTGTCTCAAGTATCCTGAAAATTATCAGTCAGGCAAGGTTGTAATCCACAATGTTCCAAGTGTTCAAAATGTTCAACCTCCCTGCAGCCAGACATATTCAAAAGTCAATTTTTTCTTTCTCTCCACTAGCTTTTAAAATTAAAAGTCCAAGCTCAGTAGGTATTTATAATCCAAGAAGGTCAGGATGATAAATATGCCAAAATATTTTTCTTTCTTGCCAGCTGTACCAAGCAGCCAAGGAACTAGTTATAGTGCTGTACTCAAATCCACCACTAGATGTCATTCAAAGTCCATTTTCCACTCTTAAAAAAGGGTTGATTTCTTATATTTCACCTCAATAATTTTTTTCAAAGAGAAAATCTTAACAATTATCTCAGTTCTCAGATTTATCAAAACTGTAGCTTTGTATTACTTTCACTTCAGTATTATTTCTGTTCTCCATAACAAATTTAAAATGCCGCTTCCGTTCACATCTGGAGGTTTTAGGCTTCTTGGGAGCCTTTCCCAGGAAATTCAGTTGTAAAATAGTAAAGAAAGGATCAATATTCTCACCCAGTCCAAACATGCTGTTTACAATGTGCTAATTAAAGCTTTGTTCTTCAGTTGTCAGCAGCTAATGGCCGGCAACAGAGGTGTGGCCAATCTTTACCCTGCCAGTTTAGAGGGCTTTCCTTGGATTGAAAGGAGAGACTGCCATCTCTCCATGATTGATAAGGCACCCCTCCTTCTTCATCACCTCTTCGGGGCAACTTTAGGCCCTTTTCAGGGCTCCCGGCAGGACTAAATCGGGCGTGAAAGGCAGAGCTCTGCCTTCCTACGTCCCATCTCGCCACGACGCAAAACCAGAAGTCCAGACATTAAGAATCTTCTACCATGAACAGTGTGGACTTGCTCTATTCCAATTGTTCAGCATATTTGTTAACCAGATATCCGTGAAGATTTTTTATTTCTATCCTACAAGCACAGCATTTAAATAGAAGTATTCTATCTAACAATAATCTTAAATTCACCGGAAAGAGACTTCTTAAATCTGCCAAGATAATTTTTTAAATGTATATACAATTGCCAAAATAAAATTGCAGCAGCCAAAGGAAAGTTCAAAATGCAAAATACATTGGCATGCTAAATTGTGATTATTTTTTTCCTGGCTCAGGTTTCTTTGATGTAGATAAAGCACTGGGGTCCCAAAATTGTAGACAGGTCATAGTGCAATAGAACAGTACACAAAAGTTTCCAGATATGTGTAGTATCTCTAATTGGAGTGGAAAAAGATTTCTCTTCCAAGCAACAGAAAGTTAAAATAAGTTAGCTTCCTTTGTAGGATGCACTTTACAAAATCTGTAATTCCCAGGCAACATGAATTTAGACAATAGCAGATGAGAAGGTATGGTGTACAAGTTTGCTTATTGCTCTTTCTTCAAATAGAAGGTGACATTATGAGCTAGATCAGGGGTCCCCAACCCCCAGTCCGTGGATCAGTATCAGTCCACAGCATTCCAGAAACTTGGTTGCTCAAACATGCAAAGCTCCATCTGTGGGATAAAGGCAGTACACGAAACCACGCCCTCTCTGGTCCACGGAAAAACCTCTCCACGGAACCAGTCCCTCGTGCCCAAAAGGTTGGGGGCTGCTGAGCTAGATAATATTTTGACTCAATGTTTAATGAAAGTCAAAGATTTTTGTTTAGCTATGATTGTCTGAGAAACTCATAATTACTTGGTTTTCCTATTATTTCTATAACTTTCCTATTACAATGCCAAAAGCAAACAAACCACATTATGACTTAGTATCATGTATGAATCAAGTCAATGCAGGGGCAATTTTTTTTAGACTGCAAATTATTCTGCTTATCTTATTCTCCATAAGACCCATAGCTCACCCTCAGTCATATGTTGAGTGCAGTCGTTAGAGTACAATGGTACACCTAATTATATCTTCAAGAAAGAATGGTGGTCAAAATCCAAAGTCTAAATGTCTTAACTTTTAGGTTTTATACAACTATTGTACTGTTTCTTGTATTTGGTCACTTCTTTTGTATTATTTTTAACCCTGCAGGTTACTGAAGCTGTGTAAATAAGTTTTGGATTTCTAGGATGATAAAACAAGTAAATAATAAGTAAATAAGCAAATAAGTAAAAGGATTCCATTAAAAGTCTAAATTTAAGACTGTTATTTCAGAAGGAAAGCCTTAAAAGCAGTAGCAATATCATACCCAGACATTATATATTTTACTTTCACTATTAAAAGGAAATTATCAGTGGTGGGATTCAAATATGTGAACAACCGGTTCTCTGTGTGGATGCCACTTCCAGAAATCCATTCTGGGCCTGGGCAACAAAAAATTAGCTACCGGTTTTGCCGAAGTGGTGTGAACTGGCTGAATCCCATCACTGGAAATTATGCAAATAACAAAATAAGAAAAGCAACATAAACAGAGTTCATCTGTTGACAAGAGGTGAGTGAAGCTATAGAAGAAACTGATGAGAACAGCAGAGAACAGAATTCAGCAGAGTGTAGTTAGAGACGGCAGCATGGATTTTTCTGAGCAGAAGATGTAGTAAAATCTTGGTCACGTTCACCAAGCTATTTATTGAAGACCAATGTATTATATTAAGTTGTACTATCATTCCTCACCAGTAGGACCAACCAACTGTTTGTGCTGTTTTGTACATGGCACTTGTATGTCAATTATGACCAACTCTATTTATTTTATTGAAGGATTGAAAATAATATTTTTCCACAGGTGCACCACATAGCTCAGAACATCAGCTTAAGGTGTTCTTATTACCAAGTCCACATTTATATCCAACATCCTTAGTCAAACATTAGGGGCCTAATAGGACCAATTATGAGATGTTTGTGTATATTAAAAATACAGTATTTTACAGTATTATTTACAAAAATACTATGGCTTCTGTGAGAAAATGAATAAAAACAGAGTTGAAATAACCTGAATGTGAAAGTATGCAATACTGAGTATGTAGATATAAGTTAAGTAATATAACTCAAGGTTTCCAGTATTTGTATGGTGTTTTAAAAAAAGTCTGAACTATGGGGAACAAAGAGCAAAAATTTGATTTTTAATACAGGAAGGCATACAGGTAGTCCTTGACTTATGACCACAATTGAGCCCAAATTTTCTGCTGCTCAGTGAGACAGTTGTTAAGTGAATTTTGCCACTTTTTACGACTTTTCTTGACACAGTCATTAAGTTAGTAACACAGTTGGTAAGTGAATCCGGTGACCAAGGGGATGCTGCAAAGGTCATAAGTGTGAAAAATGGTCATAAGACACTTTTTTCAGTGCTTTTGCAACTTCAAACGGTCACTAAACGAACTGTTGTAAGTCAAGGATAGTTGTATAGGATTTATCATTCAGTATATCATTAATGAAACCTGTGAATGTAACTTATGAGTGGAATGCAAGGATTGAAAGAATAGAATAGAAATGGGCCTGATAAAAGGGAAGGACTGTTATATGAAGACAGAACACACATGTGTATACATCCAGGAATTTGAGAATCCAGTAAAAATCGTTTGAGTAAGATAGACCGAAAGGGGGGAAAAACAGTGATATTATTGTATGTGTGGCTGGAGCCCGGGGTGGAAAGCTATTGACTGCCAAATCAAACAGGAGATATGAATAATGCCCCCAAGGACTAGATACAGAACTCTTATGAAGGGATTCATAGTAATAATTGGAGGCTTCAACAACACAAACATTTGTTTGAAAACAAACTCAGCCAAACTTGCAAAGTCCCCAACTTAAAATAAGCAATAAGATGGTTGGTGAGCACCTGGCTACTATATCATGAATGAGTTTGTCTTTAGAACCAGACTGATTAAATCAGAATCTTGAAGGACTGGCGGGTGTCACCTTGGGGCCCCCTTCATAGAACAGGCATCATGCCAGAATATTGAAGAAGGGCAAATGCAGTTTCTATCTTTGAAAATGAGAAGAAAGTTGACCCAGGTAACTAGGGATCAGATTTGATACTTCTCTGGAACACATTATTGAGTTCCATTATTGAGTTAGTTTGTGAGCATTAAAAAAGAATGCATTTTTGGGAGGAGTCAACATGAATTTATCAAGTAGAAACCATGCCAATCTATCAGGGATGTTTTAGCTGTGGATTCTGGCACCAGGCAGAGGGTTGGACTAAATTATCTGCAAGTGATGTTTCCCAACCTTTACCTTCTAATATTTTATGAAATTGTGGAATTCGTTGCTCACACAAGTGGAAGACATGAGATAACTCATGTTGATTTATCAGAAGGCTCCACGTTTTCCTTGGTATTTTTGTTACTGTCATTTTCAATGTGGAAACATATAAAAAACCTAAAACAGGGTTGTTCAATTTTTTTTAAAAAAAGATACCTCTTCCCAATCAGCACTGCCCCATATGAGGTCCTCAAGTGCTTAGAAATATTAACATCGTCCCCATCCTCACTCCTTTACACACACACACACACACATACACACACACAAACACAGAGAGGGGGGGAGAGAGAGAGAGAGAGAGAGAGAGAGAGAGAGAGAGAGAGAGAGAGAGAGAGAGAGAGACTGGATAAATATCTGAGAGTAGGTTCAGACAGAGAGATTCACTTTGGTAAGATTGTTTGTGAGCGTGCCAGAAAGCCTTTTGATTAACTATATGTCTAAACTATGAACTGACCTAAAATAATTCCTCTAGCATAATGCACCTTCTTATCATCAATAGTAATGATAGCAATCCAGTGCTGAGTAACTATTGAAGAGATTCATAAATATGTATACTAAGGCAGCTTTCTCACTCTATAGGGTATTTGTCTCCATGGCAACAAATGGCACCGTTTCTAATCTTCCATTTAAGCCCTGTATTGAAAATGACTTTTTTTTTTTTACTTTTGGGGGGGGTAATTAAAAATAGGCATGCGCATGCACACACAGACAGGAAGACACAAACTCTGTTAGGAATGCCTGTTTGTTCAAATATGTACAATCAGCACCCCACTGTGGCCAAAGTGAATAATTCCACCAGCTTCTAGAACTTGAGAGCTGGTTAGACTTTCTTCTCACACATTTCGGCTCAGATAATCATACAACCAACATGCATTTTATTCAGTTTTTATAAGAAAGGTAAATAACTGCTTCCTATAATAGGACTCACAGTTACCTAGAAGTGAGATCACAATTTCCTTTAATATAAGAAAATCGAGACTGCACTAGAACACTATTTCTTTTGCAACTGCCCTGCAAATAACGGCTACAAAAGAGTTACCCTTTGGGGTATGTTTTTGAAAATGCAAGAAAGTGAAAATGAAATGGCAATGAAAAAATTCTAGACCAGACTTTCACATTTTTTTTTTAATCCTAGAAATAATTTTCAGGTCTCAGGAACCCTCTGCATAAAAACTGCAACTACAAATACAAAATCTTCACAATACAATCCACTTCTAACCTACTGTGTATGTGGGAATGATCTTAAAAGACAGGAAGGAAAAACCACAGACTGGACAAGCAGCAAATGACAGAGATATCCCAGGCCATAGACACTGTTTCTCAACCTTGACAATTTTAAGGCATGTGGACTTCAACTCCCAGAATTCCACAGCCAGCATTGCTGGCTGTGGAATTCTGGGAGTTGAAGTCCACATGCCTCCCTAGCTTTCTGGAAAGTAAAAGTAAAGGAGGACAGAAATGCTTCTTGCAAGATTGTGTTAACGTAAGATTTCCGTAAAGATGGGACTACAGGTAGTCCTTGACTTACGACCACAATTGAGCCCAAAATTTTTGTTGCTAAGTGAGACAGTTAAGTGAATTTTGCCCCGTTTTATGACCTTTCCACAATTGTTAAGTGAATCACTGCAGTTGTTAAATAACACTGTTGTTAAATGAATATGGCTTCCCCGTTGAAGGTCGCAAAAGGTGACCAGGTGATCCCAGGATACTGTAACCATCATAAATATGAGTCAGTTGCCGAGGATCTGAATTTTCATCATGTGACCATAGAGATGCTGCTGCGGTCGGCAGTGAAAAATGGTCGTAAGTCATTTTTTTCAGTGCTGTCGTAACTTTGAACGGTCACTAAATGAACTGTTGTAAATTGAGGACTACTTCTATTTTGCCCCTTTGTATGGCCTTTCTTTCCACAGTTGTTAAGTGAATCACTGCAGAGGTTAAGTTAGGAACACTGATGTTAAGTGAATCTGGCTTCCCCATTGACTTGGTTGTGCTTTGTGACCTGAGTTAGCCCTTCGAGGTAGTTCAGTCTAAAATAGCTGGGAAAGGAACTTCTATCACATCCTGGAGAGCTGATACCAGTCAGCTCAATAATACTGAGCTCACTGGACCAATGTTGAGAAACAATGGCAATTTGCTAAAAAGATTCCAAATGCTTCACTTCCAGTTTTCTTTGAATTTCCTCCATTCCAATTCCTCTCTACCCTACTTTACAAGCAGAGGCTCTTAAGAGATTTTCTTTATTTGTGTAATGAATGGGTTTGTTTTGAATACAAGAGGTGCTGTAGTTCAGTGGCTTAATGACATTGGAGATGGTCTCTGTTCCTGTGGTTCGAGTCCTAACACTGGGTGTCAGGGTAAGCTCCCTCACTCGCCTCAGCTTCTGCCCATCTAGCAGTTCAAAACTATGTTCTATGCAAGTAGATAAATAGGTACCACTTTGGTGAGAAAGATGAGTTGGTGCTTGGTGCAATTTGATTCGAACTCTAAAAACTTTATTGCAGTCAAAACCCAGCAGAAGATAGCTCACAGAACAAGGGGAGGCATGGGAAGCGTTTCAGAAGGGACCCTCCCTAGTTTTCAGAGAGTAAAAGGAGACGAAGGAAAAAGTACTTCCAGACTTACAAGATTACATTAATATAACCTTATGTAGCGGGGAGAGAACAACGTCAATTGTGCAATCATGCCAATTGGCACTATCAGCTGAGCAGCATGGGTGTCTCGGGGCCCCTGATCACCATGCAGTATCTGACATTCTAGGCTCTTGAGGGCATCCTGAAGGCTAGAGAGTGAAGCAGAGCACATAGCTGATTGACACAGAGCACCAATCATCTGGACAGAGCAGCCAAACCCTGT